AAATAAGCATTCGTTGAGATTAGAGATTCCCACTGTCTTTGCGGAAGCATTGAATACAATACGCACTTTGTTGGTCGACTTTTCTGGTGTTATAACGGCTTGATGCGGTAACTTATGCACCAAACCCTCTTTTTTCTTTCCAACACTTTCTATGATCCGTCGAGCTTCGTATTCCTTAAAAATTCCATCGTATTCCTTTAACAATTTCGAATTCTTCTACAATTTTGCTAAAGTAGTCTTCAGCCTGCCCAAGGCTAATCCAGGGCTCGACAATAAGTCTGGTTCTCGATTCTCAACGGTAGACTAGCAACATATCTACCATATTCCAACTTCACCGTCTTCTCAAATTCTTGTGTCAAAGCGTCATCATTTTGATCAAGTTCCTCGGTTACACCAATGATTTCCGAGTCCTAGAAGCGCTCCACATCATTCTTTTCATCCACTGCTGAACATACTGTTATTGTTCTTGTCTGGATTGTCGGATCATCTCTATTTCCATGAATTTCTCTTCTTCCTGTAACGATTGGCCCCACTGTCGACGGCACTATGTGGAAACCTAATGGAATTCTCGCTTTCACTCTTGTCTGAATAAATTCAAAGTAGTGATAGTGATCAACACCAATAAGAACATCTGGATAATTCCACTTGCTCGTTTTCTCAATAATGTCCTCCACTGCTTTACCAATTTCTATAGTTTGCAGCCGTTGTGTATGATGTCGACCGTGTTTGCCTCCATTACCCGTACTTCTCCATTATTCTGTCTTATGCCAATATTCAACTTTTTCGATCGATAGGTGAGCTAGCACCAAATGCAGCGATTGATAAAATCTCTTCTTGCACCTTGACACCAAGTTTTTTTGCTATTCTTTCCGTCACAAATGACCGTTGACTTTCCGTATCAAAGAATGCCAACTCTTCACAGAATCTTGCCGGATTTTCCGGATTGATGACCGGAATGTCCCGGCACATAAGTAAAACCGTTTGTTTTTTCTTTCTGCTCAACTCCTGCTCCATTTCAGTTCTCCGCTGATTTCTTGTTGATTCTGACGTAACCGTCGCTAAATTCCCATTTTCATCCCCACTGTTAGGCTCATTTCCACTCAGTCGTTTCGCTTTCGTCTTCTGACTGCTCCTCATAACAGTCAGCACATTCTTAGCATTTCACTCCCAGCAGGATGCTGAATTATGTTTCCGTTGACAATAAAAACAGTACACATTACTTTGGCATTGAGTATGCATGGTACTCACGTAAGAGCGTATGAAAGTTTTAGAGGGAAAATTGCTAACTCGGGTACCT